GTAACCTGATCAGGATAAGAAACTGTATCTTTCAATCCAGAGTCCTGGGTACTATTTACGAGGTTATTACATCTGTCCCAACCACAAAATAAAAGTCTTATTTGTTATTTCTTTAAGCCATCAGGTCATGCAGAGAAATGTTTGAGCTAAACAAGTAAGGAATAAGTAAATGGTCTTGCAGTAATAATTAAATCATTCTTACTTATGTGTGATATATTTTATATGAATCCTAGTGTTCTTGCCTGGAGATAATAATGTCAATTGATTGCATAGATATAATAAGGTTCTATCAACTCAGTTGATAACGGAAATTGGCCACTTAAAGTTGACGTTTCGAGCATTAGCCTTTCGTAAGAACGAAAGACGAAATGCTAACATTAGAAACGTCCGCTTAGAAACTCTTTACAGAGACCAATTTAAATTATCAACCCCAAGCTATCTTGTAATACCCCTCACCGAATGTAGCATCACAACTTTTTTTAGAAAAAACTTACCGCCTTCATTGCATAGATATGCCTCCGAGGCTACTGAGTAGCCTACCCCTATCAACATATGAACAAAAGGCTTCACCCATATCAAGTCTTCGATGAGCCAGCCTCGCTTAATCGTTCATCGGTGATAACCTGTTTCAATCAGAATGCATTTTAAGCTAGTTTGTCGATGAGCCTCTCATATTCCTTAACTGCCAGCTTAGGTAATAATTATGAGAGAGGATGCAAGCTTCTCTATGCATGAAATTAAAACGTTCTCTATTATGTTTCGAAGGCTGAACACAAGTCAGCTGGTCATCCTTATCGTTGACTCAAAACCATTGACCGTCTTCTGCCACGTGGGAGATTTGGGTTGTGGAAGAGGAGGCTGGACACCAGTGATGAAGATTGATGGAGACAAGGTATGTACGATGCGATTTCCATTTGGTAACTTACTTATTTGAAAATAAACAACCACACGAGAAACAACTGGAAACGTTAATACAAAGAAACAAGTAGTAGAAATTTGCCATAAGTGGTGGAGTCCCTTCCAAGCAATTTAAAACCTTAGATTTCCTACCAAGTGAACTACAAATGGAAATCCTAACGCATGTCTTGACGTCGATTTCTCTTTCGGTACAATATGACAAGAATATAATCTGGTAAAGGCAGACAATTGCTTTAAAACAGATCTTACTCATTTTTTTCCTGATGGTGGCATCGGCAGTGTTTGCTTTTCGTCTTAAATATTAATGAAAGGATACCGAAATAGCATATCCCCGTTTTCCCTGAAAACACTTCATCTCTCCACAAGTTACCAGCGCAAAATTCTCTTTGAAACGAATAAAGCAATTTTTTTTCAGGCTCCATTATCACTTGTGAATAAACAGTTATATCTTCTAGATTAAAGAAGAAACATCTTAAGTTTTATTAAGGCAACTATTTGATATTATTTGGCAGCAAACTTTTCATTATGACTCGGGGTACTGGAGCGATAAGAACACCTTCAAACTTGGTGGAGGAAGTACTGGGTTTGATTCAATGGAGACCAAGTTACCAACGTACTGGAACACATCTTTTTCTAAAATCTGTCTTGGTATGAAGATCAACCAAGACATCAGATTTATGGTGATAAACAAACAGGCCGAGTCTCTTTACTCACTGATAGCTGATGGGGAATACCGCCAAACTTCATTAGGTCGAAACAAGTGGAAGGCGCTGATTGGTTCGGAAGCATCTCTTCAAAATAAATGTAACAAGGAAGGTTTTAATGTACAATGTCTTCATAAGGGGTCCCCTACGCAGAATTCTAGAGCAAGAATCGGTTTTATTGGTAATAATAGACGCAACTGCACCAATTGTAACTCCAGAATTGGATTTGGTACCGGGGGCCATCCTGATTTTAACAACACGTGTGGGAACGAGGCAATAAGGAGATCAAATAAAGGTGACAAACATATTAGAACCATGGGGTTCATATTGGTGCAGTGATGATGGGACGAACAAAGAAGAAAAGACTGTTTCATGATAGATGTTCTATCTTAACATGGACAATAGGTTCTTAAGCCTTACTCATCAGTTGAAAAATCTTTCAAAAAGACTTAGATGATGTGTCGTAAACGAAGGAGGTAAATATTTGCCTCCTTGTGTTGGCACGAGAGAGTGTCTAATTATGAAGGATTATTTTATTCTGCAATACATTTGAGTTGGTTTGTTTCATAACATGGCGTTTCCTATGGAAAAGAGATATCTCACGAAATTATTGGCATGATATTGGTGTTGTTTTTTTTTTTTAATTTTACAAAATTCTTCCAAATTTCTAAGCATTAGATTTTCACGAGAAAAAAGTGAATCGTTCCAGGTGGCCTGTAAATAAACAAGTACGAAAGAAGTTAGGCCAATATTCAGTGTTACAGAAGTGAGTACTAAGAATTAGTTACAATTTATTAGATACTGTTTATGATCCATTTACATAATGCTGTAATAACATGTAGTATTCGAATAACATTACTTAAGCGTGGTTGTGTTTTTAAATACGTAGAACTTTTGGTATTGTTCGTCATGTGGCACTGAGTATGTTGTTGATGCGGTAGTAAATTCGTCTGAAATAAAAAAAAAGAAAGAACAACAATGAACGAGGAGGGATGTTGATCCTGTGTTTAATCATTAAAAATGCATAACGCTGAAACGAGATAGAAACTAGAGTGGAACGAATATTGTAGCGCACCACGTTTAGTTGAGGAAATTTGTATTCTCGTTCAAG